TAAAACAGCTGGCGGCGGTGGCGCACACTTTTAATCCCAGCACTTGGGAGGCAGAGGCAGGCAGATCTCTGTGAGTTCAAGGCCAGCCTGGGCTACAGTGTGAGATCCAGGACAGGCACCAAAACTACACAGAGAAACCCTGTCTTGAAAAAACAAAAACAACTCCCCCCCCAAAAAAAAAAAGTTTAAAACCCGGGGATGTGCAGGATCTTAGATTCAAACTGCAGCCAAATAAAATCAACAAATACAAAATACAGTAGAAAATAAGAGGCAAAGGAAAAGAGAAAATTGGAGAAAGCCCAGTGAAGTCCCTGCCATTCCCATCCTGGAGGTAAGGGAGGCTCTAGGGCAGTGGTTCTCAACCTGTGGGTCATGACCCCCTTGGGGTTGCATATCAGATATTAACATTACGATTCATAACAGTAGCAAAATTACAGTTATGAGGTAGCGAGGAAATAATTTTATGGTTGGGGGTCACCACAACATGAGGTACTGTATTAAAGAGTCGCAGCGTTAGGAAGGTTGAGAACCACTGGGCTGGGGTCTTTTCTGCTGCCCATTGCCCTTCCTGAAAGCCACTGACTGGCACTCTCCTTCCCTCTGGAGAGCATCATGGGTCACTTTGTCAACAGACCTATGTAACAGACATGAGTTCCCACACACAGCTTGCAGACCCAGCTGTGACCGAGAGCCCTGACCCATGCTGAGAATGGAGTCCGATGGCAGAAGTTCTGGTCTCCAGGTTCCACTGCTCACTCCTCCCCCGCTTTAGGAAGGGTCTCATGTTGCCCAGGCTGGCCTTGAACTTCCTAGGTAACTGAGATTGACTTTGAACTTTCCAGTCCTCCTATGTCCACCTCCCAAGTGCTGGGATAAAGTGTGGGCCACTACATCTGGAGCATGCAGTGCTGGCCACTGAACCTAGCCTTCAAGCATGCTAGGCAAGCAGTCTATCAACTGAGCTACATCCCCTTCCCTCAAGGTTCCATTTCTACTATCTACTGGCCCAAGTCACCTTTTTCTCAACTGAAAAATTAGGGATGGTGACAAGGGCCAGTGTGGGGTTGGCACTGACGTTTTGGTCAGGTAGGAAGCATGACACAAATGTTTCATAAGATAGACAGACATACATGAGCTTGACATACGCCTGAGACTTAACATCCCTGCCACAGGGTCCCCAAAGCTGGCAGGCATCTTGCCAAGTGCTTTGAAGACACCCCCCCACATATCCTGTAGCAGCAAGTGGCAGACCCATATTCACATACTGCATACTGTATAAATATAGGTTTTATTAATAATGAGTGAAATCCCACAAATACAACTGCCATCTGTGTAATGGAGAAAGTACAGAGGACTGAGCACAGGGACTGAGGAGAGAGTCCTGGGGGAGGGGAAATCAGATGTAGGATGAGCCTGGACCCCCCAAGAAAACAGACACGCTCCGGGTGTGTCTGCCACCTTGGTGTCCGGGCTCTGCTGCTCTGATGTCCAGGAACCAGCTGCTGACCGGAGAAGGGAGGAGATATGTGAACAGAAGTTTGAGTGAGCAGCAGGCAGCTGGAGAAGGGGCAGAAGAGCGAGTGCCATCTTGGAGCACAAAAGGAGGGCCACGGGGGGAGCAGCGGCTGAAGCCAGCTCCGCCCATTCTTGTGCTTGTTGGGTCCTGACCTCCAGGAGGCAAGGACCCAGTGCCACCCCTGGCTCAAGAGAGAGGGAACACTGGGAGAGAGACACCTGCCGAGCCTAGAGCCACACTGGTTCACACCAGCCTCATTCTTAGCCTCCAAAGTGGGGTTCCCAGGAGGAGGTTGGCATGGCCCTTCTGCCGCCGCGCCGCCGCAGTCCGCTCTGTGCCGGTACCAGTCCGCTGGCTCCGTGTCGGTTCCACCATCAGTCTTCCCCCGAGCCGTAGGGGTGGTGCGTGTGTGGGGCTAAGATTGTCTGATTGCGTTTGTGTGCCTGTGACTCTGGAGGGGAAAGGAGCCCGTGGAACTGAGCCTCGGGAGGAGCAGAAGGGAGCACCGAGGATTCCCGGCTCACCCCCCAGAATAAAGTGCATTCTCCAGTTCTAGTGGCAGGGGGAAAGTGACACAGACATTATTGCAGAGGTGCCATTGAGACCTACCCTGACTGAAGGTTTAGGGGAGGGAGTGGGACGTCCCAGGGTCTCTCCAATCTCCAGGATTGGGAGTGGTCACCCAGACAGAAAACCCGGCTTCTGTCCCAACAGATTGTCCAAATCAGCCAAAGTGGGTGGAGGGAGGAAAGGGGAGGAGGAGGAGGAGGAGGAGGAGGAAGAGACTCCCAGAGTCCCTCCTTGCTCCATCCAATGTCCATGATGGGACTTCCTGGGGACCCCACCAGGGC